ACGACCCGGGCCCATCCAATCACCCGGGACCATCACAGGCACACACCCGCCCGGCTTCACCCACTGCCACGCTTCAAGCGTACCCGGAAATTCAATGGATCTACGCCGGTGTTGAGTACAATTCGTTGGAAAATGCTATCCGTGCCTCGGCAGATAGCTTAGGCATCAACAACCAGGCTTAATCTCCGTAACAAGGGACATCACACGGCGCGAAGTGGTCAATGTCTACAACGTCCTCGGTGGCAAGATATATGATCATCGGAACGATTTCCTCAATGAGTGTGACACCACCCACGCCACCTTCAAAGAGTTGGACGCGTCTATGACAGGCCTTCACACCAAGGCTGACACTGCTGGGAACCTCGCTCTCAAAGCTGTGGAAGAGAACAAACAGTTGAAGGCGGAACTGGTCACTGTCAAAGCGGACCTGGAGGTTCTCAACCGGAACAATACGGAGCTTGTCAAATAGTACAAGGAACTCGCGGCCAAGTTTACACAGTTGGAGCAAGGCCTGTCGACCCGCACCACGCTTGGTATCAGTACCGCCCCGGTCCCTGTCATATCACAGGCCTCGCGTATCAAGACATCAGAACCACCCAAGTACAAGGGCAACAAAAGCTCGGACATCACTCTTGAACAGTGGTTACAGAAGATGGGCCTTTGGTTCCGTGTCCAGAACATCACCACGGACGATGACAAGATTACCCTGGCCCTCATGTACTTGGAAGGCGGCGCGCACGACTACGTCGAGGACTACGTCGAGACGGCATCGAATGGTGGAACCCTTGGATCCTGGACCGACTTCGTCAACCGACTCAAGGCAGGCTATCGTCAACTGGCTCCCGAGAAGACCGCGCAAACATCCCTCGAGGAGTGGTGCTCAAAATCTCACTCCACGGTCATTCAGTTCGCCGAGAACTTCCGCCGCTACGCATCGAAGTCTAGTTACGCTGATGTAGAACTCATCCGACGCATCGACAACCAGGTCGGCAAGAACTCGCAGATTCTTACGGTTATGACGGCAATGCGGCAAGTCAACCCGATGCTGATTCCGACGAAATGGGAGCACTACCTGGACTGGGTACTGAAGCTGGAAATGGAAACTCGGGGAAATCAGGCCAAGTCGTCTTCGCAGCAACACATGACCAGTCGCCCCCCACGGGACCCCAATGCCATGGATGTCGACGCAATGCGCAAGCCGGAGAAGCTCTCCAAGGAACAACTCGAATGGCTCGACAAGAAGCTCTGTTTCCGCTGTGGCAAGCACAAGTTTACGACTGGCCAGAAATGTCAGAACCCTCAGTACACGGGCTACTACGAGCTCCCCGACATGAAGAAGCAACCGGCCGCTCCGTCCAAGGTACGCACAATGGACACGGCCGATGAAGACAAATGGGAGTACATCCGCAGGGCCCTCGAGGAGTTTGAGACCGCCAAGGGAAAAGGCAAAGGCAAGGCACCGGAAACTGAGACCACCGCATGCATCGTCGAGGTCAAGGAATCTGAGGAGGATTTTCTGGAACGGGTACTTTGAAGACTGACCAAAGTATCCGACTCCGTAATCATAGCGTAGACCTAGAGGACTCTTTTGTTCCGCGTTCGAATGTTATTTATCTCGCATCAGCACGTCGCCCGCGAAATTCGTTCGATCTCAAAGTTTCCCTCACTCAAGGTACGCATGAAGTTCAGTCAGAAGCTCTCCTCGATTCAGGAGCCTACTCTTGTTTTATCCACCACCGGTTTGTTCAAGAACACGGACTCACCCTACGACACCTCTCTCGTGAAGTGCGAGTTTTCAATGCAGACGCCACCGAGAATAAGAAGGGGTTGATCACACACTACGTCCGTTGTTTACTCCGTATCGGAGATCACCTCGCCTAGCAGTCGTTCCTTGTCACAGATATCGGGCGGCAAGACATCATCATTGGCATGGCGTTTCTACGTGAACATAACCCTGAACTCGATTGGAATGCAGGGAACATTGAGTTTACACGCTGCCCCTCAACATGCACCCGGCACACAGTGCAGGACGAAGAATTACGGAGTTTGCAACTTCCCTGAGTGGAAGATGTTGCGCAGGATC